TTTTCATCTTCGGCACAGCTAGGCTCCTCATCAAGAAACATCACCTCCTCGGAGGGATGGGCCTCCAATTCCAGCGGGATGAGTGTGCCATTGTGGAGAACTCCCAGCTTCCCAGCTCCTGGCCCAGCATCCCCGGGGCCTGTGGACAGGGCAGAGAAGGGCAGGGAAGGGGCAGCTTCCAGAACACAGGGAATGTCATGTGACAGGTCAGACATACCTGCCTGAGGACCTCTTAGAGCCTTGTTGGCCAGCAAAACACTAAGTGGAGGCTCCAAGAGTTACGAGTTCCAGACTGCCATAATCTTTTCAAAGTTTGTGTCTAATAGGAGAAACCAGGGACTTCTCCCACCAGAATGCAAATCTAATGGAATAAAAACTTAAGTGCCCCGGGGGAGAGCCAGGCTGGTTCAGATGTGCAGAGGGAGGACAGAATTAGAAAAAGATGTGCACAGGGTGGTTTTGATTGGGGACATCAAGAATTTTAGAATATCAAAGTTGAGACAGAATTTGAGTTCTGGTTCAACCCTCCTATTTTCCAGATGCAGAAATTGTGGGAAGTGATTTGTTCAAAGTCTGCATCAAAGAGGAGATTCACATAGACATGTTCTGACCCCAGTCCAGGGTTTTTTCTCTACATTTGATCTCTAAATGTCTGGTTTGCCCAACATTATAGGGCTCCAAGATTCACTACCCCTATGACTTCCCAACCAGCCCTACCTCATGCACATCCTTTTTGTGCTGGGTTTCTACTCATCCCTCCCGCTCTCTGTTCACCACTGTTTTGTTTTGTTTTGGTTTGGTTTGGTTTTGAGACAGAGTCTCACTGTTGCCCAGGCTGGAGTGCAGTGGCACGATCTCCACTCACTGCAACCTCCACCTCCTGGGCTCAAGTGATCCTTGTGACTCAGCCTCCTGAGTAGCTGGGATTACAGGCACATGCCACCATGTTTGGCTAATTGTTTTGTATTTTTAGTAGAGATGAGGTTTTGCCATGTTGCCTAGGCTGGTCTGGAACTCCCAACCTCCAGTGATCCGCCCACCTCGATCTCCCAAAGTGCTGGGATTACAGGCTGAGGCACCACAGCCCAGCCCACTACTCTTTTTAAATGCCCATCTGAGCAAACCCTGCTTTGTCACTGGCCACTGTAATGCTCACAGGGTTGTGAATGTAGAGCTCCAGCTTCCATGTAAGTAAGAAACATCCTGGAAATGCTTTTGCCCAAAAAAGGGGGCACTGAGCTTCTATAAGGAAAGATGCAGGGAAAACAGGACTGAGCTTAGGTTCTTCCTGAGGCTCTAGACTGGTTTCTCTTATCGTCCGCTGTCAGCACTTCAGCCTGACACTTGGTTCCATCCTCCAGGGTTTTCACCTGGTCTTGACTGCCTGGTCATCTCTCTCCACCTCCCACTCATTCAAGAACTGGAGCTTCAAAAAGTGTTTGTCATTGAGCACTTGGATATATGGATTAATCCTCCTTATTCCGCTTTTGTCACTGGCTTTGCTTCCCCATCTCAAACCCTGGACACAGCCCTGATGTCATTTTAAATTTTTTTAAAAATTTGAGAATTCTTGGATAACTGCACTTGGGGGATATGAGAGATAATAGTAATTGGGATCATAAGCATGGTAAAAGAGTGGAAGATAGACTATGAATCAAGCTCTCTGGCTAGGCTCTCCTGCTACCTTGCTGTGTGGTCTTGGGCAAAGCCTTTAATGTATCTGTGCTTCAGTGTCTTATTTTTCAGGTGAGGATAATACTGCCTGATGCATTGACCTTTGAGAAAAATCGAAAATCAAATGGGCCGGACATGGTACTACGCATCTTTAGTTTCAGCTACTTGGGAAGCTGCAGCAAGAGGTCGCTTGAACCCAGGGGTTCAAGACTGCAGTGCACTATGATGACACCTGTGAATAGCAACTGCACTCCGGGCTGGACAACATAGCAAGACCTTACCACTAAAAAAAATTAAAAATCATGTGGGAGGGGAGATTTGAACTTTTTCTTAATTGAAAAAAATAATATTGTAACATATTTTAAATCATCCTCCTTCATCAGTGTCCTCTGAGATAAACTGGTAAGCAGCTATCTGCTAAGCCAAGTCTGAATTTCATCTCCTTTTATATCGTCTCTTCTGGGCAGAGGGAGCTGACAAGCAGTAATATACGCATAATGGAGGTTGGGGAAATAGAAGACCTATACACTCCAGAAGGATCTGAACAATCTCATGTCCATTGTGAAGAAAAACCAAGGGAAATCGCAATAGAACAAGGTTCTGGGTTCCCTCTTCTCATTTTAACAACACTTGGTCATCTGGATGTTGTTAGGGTTGGATTTAGATTAGGTTTCATTTATAATCATTGTCTATGTTAGGATTTGGGTTAGGGTTGGGTTCCAGCTAGGTTTAGATTTCAAATTGGGATTCAGGTTTAGGTTAGGGCTAGTTTACAGTTAGGAATGAGAAATTAGGTTTATTTATTTATTTACTCATTCATTCATTCATTTATTGAGACAAGGTTTTGCTCTGTTGTCCAGGCTAGACTGCAGTGGCATGGTCACGGCTCACGGCAACTTCTGCCTCCTCAGCTCAAGCAATCTTCCCTGTTCAGCCTTCTGAGTAGCTAGAACTACAGGTGAATGCCACCATGCCAAGCTTATTTTTGTTTTCATTTTTTACATTTTTGAGACAGGGTCTTGCTCTGTCACCCAGGCTGAAGTGCAATGATGTGATCTCAGCTCACTGCAGCCTCGACCTTCCCAGCTCAAACAATTCTCCCACCTCAGTCTCACAAGTAGCTGGGACTATGGGTGCACATCACCATGCCAGGCCAATTTTTGTATTTTTTGTAGAGATGAGGTTTCACTATGTTGCCCAGGCTGGTCTCGAACTCTTGGCCTCAAGTGATCTGTCCACCTTGGCTTCCCAAAGTGCTAGGATTACAGGTGTGAGCCACTGTGCCTAGCCTTAGGTTTGTTTATTTATTTATTTAGAGACAGAGTCTCACTCTGTTGCCCAGGCTGGAGTGCAATGGCACAATCTCAGCTCACTACAACCTCTGCCTCCCAGTTTTCAAGTGATTCTCATGCTTCAGCTCCTGAGTAGCTGGGATTACAGGCATGTGCCACCACGCCTGGCTAATTTTTGTATTTTTAGTAGAGACAGGTTTCGCCATGTTGCCCAGGCTGGTCTCAAACCCTTGACCACAGGTGATCCACTCACCTTGGCCTTCTAAAGTGCTGGGATTACAGGCATGAGCCACTGCGCCTGGCCTCCTTAGGGTTATTCTTTTTTTTTTTTTGAGACAGAGTTTCTCTCTCGTTACCCAGGCGGAGTGCAATGGCATGATCTCGGCTCACCACTACCTCTGCCTCCCGGGTTCAAGCAATTCTCCTGCCTCAGCCCCCCAAGTAGCTGGGATTACAGGCACGTGCCACCACACCTGGCTAATTTTGTATGTTTAGTAGAGACGGGATTTCTCCATGTTGGTCAGGCTGGTCGTGAACTCCCGACCTCAGGTGATCTGCCTGCCTGGGCCTCCCAAAGTGCTGGGATTACAGGTATGAACCACCATGCCGGGCCAGGTTTATTCTTAAAGTTAAGGTTGATAGTATTAGTTTATTTTAGAATTAGGGTTAAAGTTGAGACAGCGTTTCTAAAGTTGACAATATGGACATTTAGGGCTGAATAATTCTGTTTTGAGGGTGGTGTTCTGTGTATCCTCAACATTTTAGAATGTTTAACAGTATTCGTGGCCTCTACCCATTAGATTCTTCTTCTTTTTTTTTTTTTTTTGAGGCTAGTCAAGTGAAGCAGTGGGAGTGGAGAAGGAACAAAGAAATCTGTAACTGGTTGTGATCAATTAGTTCTAAACACCACTACACTCGGATCAGCCTACACATTAGATTCTAGTATTTCCCCTCTCTCTGCATTGTAGGACCCCAAAATATCTCTAGTCATTGCCAAATATTCCCTCAGAAGAAGAGGGGTAATCACCTCTGACTGAGTTAAAATAAGGATTTGGGTTAATGTTAAGATTGTTTTTAGAGTTAGGATTAGGATCTGGGATCAGGTTATGTTTACATTTTGAGTTGGGTTCAAGTTTAGATTAGGATTAGAGTTAGGGTTTGGAAACGATTTAGATGTAGAGTTAGGAGTAAGGCTAAGGCTCAGGTTCAGGTTCAGGTTCATGTTCGGGCTAGGTCTAGAGTTTGCACTTTGCTTAGGTTCAGGTTAGCACCTTGCAGAGACAAATGTACTTCAAAAATATTACACAATGAATTTCAAGTCTGAGTACGAACAATTGTAGGGCTGCCAAGCCACTATTTCTCTCCATTAGCCCTACTGGGAAGTGGCTGTCAGCACACTGCTAGGAAATATACCCACACAGGGGAGCTGCCCATTGAACCTTGCTGAGTCTGGGGAAGGTGACTTCATAATGGCCTTCAGGACTAAGGAGGGTGGTAATTTGGGGTTGTTCCTTATCTATACGCTGTGTGACATACAGACTTCTGGAAACTGGCCTGTGTGTGCTCACATGCATGTGCATACATACTCTTTGTGCAGAGTGATGATTTACATCTTATTTCATATCCCTATTTGCATATAGTGGCCACAAAGGTCCTTATGCTTACTGTTAAGAAACCAGTGCAGCCGGACATGGTGGCTCATGCCTGTAATCCCAGCACTTTGGGAGACCGAGGCAGGTGGATCACTTGAGGTTAAGAGTTTGAAACCAGCCTGGTCAACAGGGCGAAACCCTGTTTGTAGTTTAAAAAAAAAAAAAAAAAAAAAATTAGCTGGGCATGGTGGTGGGTGCTTGTAATCCCAGCTACTTGGGAGCGCAGAGAATTGCTTGAACCCAGGAAGTGGAGGCTGCAGTGAGTCAAGATCATGCCACTGAACTCCAGACTGGGTGACCAAGTGTGACCCTATCTCCAAAAAACAAAACAAAACAAAAAAGCAGTGCATATGTGAGGGCTCTCCTTCTGTCAAGTTGTGCAGGTATGAGGAAAGGGTTCCTAGCAATAGTAAGGTGACCCAAAGACCCCAGCAATGGGAGGATCTTGGAGCTGGACACCATGGCACCAATTTATTCTCATCTTTATTGTCCTACTGTGTGTAAAATCACAGACAAGTTCACCTCTCTGTCTCAGTGTTCTCATTTGTAAAATAACCAGAATAAACTTTACCTGAAATCTTACCTGGAAGTTCCATCAGGGATGAAGTTTATTTCAACAAGCTCTTGAAATGTTTGGGAAGGAAGATGCTGCATCAACCCAAAATATTTTTATTGTTTCTTGTTTCCAGAAGGAAAGGGTGTACAGAGCTTCCTCTAGCACAGCACCCATCTGCCCATGTCAGAGAACACAGGAGGAATGGTGGTGCCAGAGGCAGATGCAACAGAGAGGGAGCCATGCTTCACTAGCTTGTCAACATGTCATTAGGGTGTTCCTGTGGGAACCAAGAGCAGAGGCAGGAGGCAGGAGCCGTGGGAGGGAGGGAGGAGGGAGGAAGAGAGAGAAATGGAAGAGATGAAGGGGTCCATGCCAGTACCACATTCATCCCTGTCATGAGGAGAGCTCTATCAAACCAAGGCCAGGCCTATAAATCAGGCCATAATTAGTTGCAAAGAGAAAGCTTTAACATCCTCATCAAATTGATTAATACATCTTCCAGCACAGGACAGGCTGGCCCTGCCTTGGAAAAACTGCAGGCTCTCCCAGCGAGGTGGGAATGGAGTGGGGAGAAAGGATAGCTCTATCCCTGGCAGCACGAAGCGAGGTGAGTCCTGTCCCTCTCTTTACTCCCTTGAAGAAGGCTCTGACAGGTGGCAGTGAGACTGGCTCTTAGTCCAGGAGGTCCTCATGGGCCTGAAGCCTGGAGAATCAAAGCAATATGTTAGTTTTGCCAGGAAATAGCCCTGATACTGTTGGCAAGTTATTTTTCCCCCCTCTGGGTCTCAGTTTTATCATCTGTAAAAGGGCCATGTTGGACCAGAGAACTTTTAAGTTTGTTTCCAGTTCTGACATCACAAATGACTGAGCCTAATGGACAAGGATTTTTGAGGGTCATGGCTAGCGAAGACCTCACTTTAGGTTCAACTTCTAGGACATCCAATGAGACGTCAGGAATTTGGGACAAATTTAAATAAATTGTTCTTACTTCAGGCTTGAGATTACCAAACATTGCCTGTGTGTCCATTCCTGAGGCCGGAGCAGCAGATACCCCTCGTCCTTCAAGGCAGCACTGAGAGAGAAGATAGCAGATCAACTTGGATTCATGACCTGGCTTAACCACTTACTAGCTCTCTGTTTGAGAAAAGTGACCTAACCTCTTCAGCTTCCTCCTCTGCAAGATAGGTATAATAATGTCTACCTTGCTGGGTCATGAGGAGGAATAAACGAGATATAAATAAAGTGTCCAGCTCAGGGCCTGGTTCACAGTAGGTGGTCACCAAGTAATAACCAGTATTATCTTTGTGGACCTGACTCTTGACATCTTCACAATGACATCCAAATCACATGGAAACTGAAAAAGTAAAGTCCAGTGGAAAAGTAAAGTCCTTACTCCATTCGAGAGGTCAAACTAGTCACTCTCCCAGGATAAAAAAAAAAAAAAAGAATATAGCATTTTGTTTTATAAAAAGCACTGGACTGAAACTGGACTTGGGTTCAGATCCCACCTTTGCTATTTATGAATTGTGTGATTTTGTGCAAGACCTTCCACCTCTCTAAGTCTAGCTGTCCCTAATGAGGAATGTTTTCAACATCCAATCAAATAATATATACAAATGATCCTTGTAAACTATAAAGTATTACTAAAAATATAAATCATTTCATAAGCAATGTTCTGGGTATCCATCACCCTTGTCTGCTGCTGAATGCCCCTGAACCCCCCTGTCTGGAAGGACAAACAAAACAGGCTCTTTTCAAGCCCCTGGGACATGTTCCATTACTTGAAGGGATCCTATGTCCTTATGTCCTCTATGGATCATACTTTCCCTGTTTCTACTTTAACACAAAATCTGACCTAATTGCTTATAATAAATGAAGAGCCTCTACTTGGTGGTATCTGGGTCACATCTAGGTTGATGTAATGACACTATCCAAAAACCCATTATTTCCTTCTTCTACAATAATTGAACTACTGGGCATATGGCTGCATATGTATATTTTTTTCCCAGCCACCCTGCAGTTAGGGTTGGTCATGTGACTAAACTCCTGATCATGGAATGCAGGCAGAAGTGATGTGGGCCACCTATGGGCTGGGACCTTAAGAAAGGTGCCTCGGCCGAGCGCAGCGGCTCACGCCTGCAACCCCAGCACTTGGGAGGCTGAGGCTGGCAGATCATGAGGTCAGGAGATCAAGACCATCCTAGCTAACACGGTGAAACCCCGTCTCTACTAAAAACACAAAAAATTAGCCAGGTGTGGTGGCGGGCACCTATAGTTCCAGCTACCCAGGAGGCTGAGGCAGGAGAATCGCTTGAACCCGGGAAGCAGAGGTTGCAGTGAGCCAAGATCGCGGCACTGCACTCTAGCCTGGGCAACAGAGTGAGATTCTGTCTCAAAAAAAAAAAGAAAGAAAAAGAAAAAAGAAAGGTGCCTCATCCATACTTTTTATTCTTCTTGAGACCTAGAACATGAGTGTGCCCGCAATCTAGCCTGGATCGTGCAGACAAAGGCTACACCTGACTGGGTGTGGTCCTGTAATCCCAGCATTTTGGGAGGCCAAGGTGAGAAGATCACTTGAGCCCAAGAGTTTGAGATTAGCCTTGGCAGCATAGCAAGAGTTTGCCACTATTTATTTATTTATTTATTTATTTATTTATTTATTTATATTTAAAAAGGTGGGGGGGGAGTGGTGGTGGTGGCACTGGGCACAGTGGACTCATACCTGTAATCCCAGACCTTTGGGAGGCTGAGGCAAGAGGATCACTGGTGGCCAGGAGTTTGAGACCAGCCTGGGTAACCTAATAAGAACCTGTCTATACAAAAATACAAAAATTAGCTGGGCAAAGTGGTATGCCCTTGTAGTCCCAGCTACTTGGGAGGCTGAGGCAGGAGGATTACTTGAGCCCTGGAGTTCGAGGCTGCAATGAGCTATGATCATGCACTGCACTCCAGCCTGGGCAACAGAGTGAAAACCTGTCCCAGAAAAAAAAAAAAAAAAAAAAAAAAAAAGGTTACAGGCTAAGGAATGGTGGGGAAGTAAGATAGAAGGAACCTGGGCCCCTGCATGACTGCATGAAGGAGAGCCCTTGCTAAAAAATAAACTTCTATCTTGAACCATTGAAATCTGGGACATCTTTATTAGATAAGCTTAATCTTTCATTCTAACTATTTGCAAGAGTCCAGAAGTTTTCTGACCAATTCTGCTATCTCTAGGTCACAGTGCCAATCCATACTAAATGTGTAAGATGTTCTCCATTTAATTTTTTTTTTCTTTTTTTTTTGAGATAGAGTCTCTCCCTGTCACTCAGGCTGGAGAACAGCGGTGCAATTACAACTCACTGAGGTCTTGCTTCCCAGGGCCATGTGATCCTCCCACCTTAACCTCCCAAGTAGCTCTGACTACAGGTGCGCACCACCACTCCCAGCTAATTTTTTTTTCTACCTTTTCTAGAGATGGGGTCTGATATAGTTTGGCTGTGTCCCCACCGAAATCTCAACTTGAATTGTATCTCCCAGAATTCCCACATGTTGTGGGAGGGACCTGGGGTGGGGGGTAATTGAATCATGGAGGTTGGTCTTTCCTGTGCTATTCTTGTGATAGTGACTAACTCTCACGAGATCTGATGGGTTTATCAAGGGTTTCTGCTTTTGCTTTTTCCTCATTTTCTCTTGCCTCTGCCATGTAAGAAGAACCTTTTGCTTCTTGCCATGATTCTGAGGCCTCTTCAGCCATGTGGAACTGTAAGTCCAATTAAACCTCTTTTTCTTCCCAGTCTTGGGTATGTCTTTATCAGCAGCATGAAAACGGACTAATACAGTAAATTGGTACCAGTAGAGTGGGGCGTTGCCGAAAAGATACCTGAAAATGTGGAAGCGACTTCAGAACTGGGTAACAGGCAGAGATTGGAACAGTTTGGAGGGCTCAGAAGAAGACAGGAAAATGTGGGAAAGCTTGGAACTTCCTAGAGACTTGTTGAATGGCTTTGCCCAAAATGCTGATAGAGATATGGACAATAAGGTCCAGGCTGAGGTGATCTCAGATGGAGATGAGGAACTTGTTGGGAACTAGATCAAAAGTGACTCCTGTTATGTTTTAGCAGAGACTGGTGGCATTTTGCCCCTGCCCTAGAGATTTGTGGAACTTTGAATAAGAGAGAAATGATTTAGGGTATCTGGCAGAAGAAATCTCTAAGCAGCAAAGCATTCAAGAGGTGACTTGGGTACTGTTAAAGGCATTCAGTTTTTTTGTTTGTTTGTTAATTTTTGTTTGTTTGTTTGTTTGTTTTAAAATGGAGTCCCACTCTGTTGCCCAGGCTGGAATACAGTAATGTGATCTCCACTCGCTGCAACCTCCACCTCCCAGATTCAAACCATTCTCCTGCCTCATCCTCCTGCATAGCTGGTATCACCAGCACCCGCCACCACACTGAGCTAATTTTTATATTTTTAGTAGAGATGGGGTTTTACCATGTTGGCCAGGCTAGTCTCGAACTCCTGACCTCAAGTGATCCACCTGCCTAGACTCCCTAAGTGCTGGGATTACAGGTGTAAGCCACTGTGCCCTGCCAGGCATTCAATTTTATAAGGGAAGCAGAGCATAAAAGTTTGGAAAATTTGCAGCCTGAAACTATGATAGAAAAGAAAAACCCATTTTCTGGGGAGAAATTGAAGTCAGCTGCAGAAATTTGCATAAGTAGCAAGGAGCCTAATGTTAATCCCCAAGACCATGGGGAAAATGTCTCCAGGCCATGTCAGAGACCTTCATGGCAGCCCTTCCCATCACAGGCCTGGAGGCCCAGGAGGAAAAAGTGATTTCATGGGCCAGGCCCAGGGTCCCTGTGCTGTGTGCAGCCTAGTGACTTGGTGCCCCATGTCCCAACTGTTCCAGCCGTGGCTGAAAGGGGCCAATGTACAGCTCAGGCTGTGGCTTCAGAGGGTGGAAGCCCCAAACCTTGGCAGCTTCCATGTGATTTTGAGCCTGTGGGTGCACAAAAGTCAAGAACTGAGGTTTGGGAATCTCTGCCTAGATTTCAGAAGATGGAAACGCCGGGATGCCCAGGCAAAAGTTTGCTGTGGGGTGGGGCCCTCATGGAGAAACTCTGCTAGGGCAGTGCAGAAGGAAAATGTGGGGTCGGAGCCCCCACACAGAGTTCCTAGTGAGGTGCTGCCTAGTGGGGCCATGAGAAGAGGGCCACCATCCTCTAGACCCCAGAATGGTAGATCCACCAACAGCTTGAACAACGAGCCTGGAAAAGCTGCAGATACTCAACGTCAGCCCATGAAAGCAGCTGGCAAGGAGGCTGTACCCTGCAAAGCCATAGGGGCAGAGCTGCCCAAGACCATGGGAACCCACTTTTTGCATCAGCATAACCTGGATGTGAGACCTGGAGTCAAATGAGATCATTTTGGAGCTTTAAAGTTTGACTGCCCCACTGGATTTTGGACTTGCATGGGCCCTGTATCCTCTTTATTTTGGCCAATTTCTCCCATTTAGAACCACTGTATTTACCCAATACCTGTACCCCCATTCTATCTAGGAAGTAACTAGCTTGCTTTTGATTTTATAGGTTCATAGGTGGAAGAGACTTGCCTTGTCTCAGATGAGACTTTGGACTGTGGACTTTAGGGTTAATGCTGAAATCAGTTAAGATTTTACGGGACTGTTGAGAAGGCATGATTGGTTTTGAAATGTGAGGACATGAGATTTGGAGACACCAGGTGCGGAATGATATGATTTGGTTGCATCTGCACTGAAATCTCAGCTTGAGTTGTATCTCCCAGAATTCCCACATGTTGTGGGAGGGACCCAGGGGGAGGTAGCTGAATCATGGGTATTGGTCTTTGCCGTGCTATTCTCGTGATAGTGAATAAGTCTCACAGTATCTGATGGGTTTATCAGGGGTTTCTGCTTTTGCTTCTTCCTCATTTTCTTTTGCCTCTGCCATGTAAGAAAAGCCTTTCGCCTCTTGCCATGATTCTGAGGCCTCTCCAGCCATGCGGAACTGTTAAGTCCAATTAAACCTCTTTTTCTTCCCAGTCTTGGGTATACCTTTATCAGCAGCATGAAAACAG